CTTTGCTGCTACCTGTCGTCTAGACTTGCCGCCAGTCTTGTTGCTGAGTCTGCGTCTGTCTGTCCTCCGTCCGTCGGGGGTGAGTGTGCTCTTGGCACGGACGTCCTTGAGGACAGGTAGGAGGACTTTGAGTGTCTTGCGGCTGCTGTACCTCATCTCGTGGCCTGGCTGCTTGCCCCTGAGGGAGACCCGGATGCATTAGACATCCCGACCCCGAGCTCTTACGAAGAGGCGATCTCGGGTCCCTACTCCTCTCACTGGCAGACAGCCATGGACGCAGAGATGGCATCCTGGAAGTCAACAGGGACCTACGTCGACGAGGTTCCCCCTCCTGGGGCGAACATAGTCGATGGCATGTGGATTTTCAGGGTGAAGCGGCCGCCGGGTTCTCCGCCTGTCTTCAAGGCTCGTTACGTTGCATGAGGCTTCAGTCAGCGGCAGGGAGTTGACTTCTTCCATACCTTCTCCCCTACCCCGAAGATGCCCACTCGTCGGGTGCTACTGCACGTTGTCGCTCAGCGTGACTACGAGCTTCACTCTCTTGACTTAAGCACAGCGTTCTTGCAGGGCAGCCTGTACGAGGAGATCTGGCTGCGCCGCCCACCTGGCTTCACTGGGTCGTTCCCTCCTGGTACCCAGTGGAGCCTTCGGCGGCCAGTCTACGGTCTCCGCCAGGTACCCCGTGAGTGGCACGACACACTGAGGACGACGCTTGCGGCTCTTGGGTTTGCTCCCTCCACTGCTGACCCGTCACTGTTTCTGCGCACCGACACTTCGCTGCCGCTGTTCTACATCCTCATGTACGTCGACGACTTGGTTTTTGCCACTGCTGACACTGAGGCACTCGCCCTTGTGAAGTCGGAGCTGCAGAAGAGACACACGTGCACAAACCTGGGTGAGCTGCGCAGCTACCTTGGCTTGCAGATCACCCGGGACAGAGCACGCCACACCATCACCCTGACCCAGTCACACATGGTGCAGCAGATCCTTCAGCGCTTCGACTTCCAGTTCTCCTCACCACAGTCCACTCCTCTGTCTACACGTCACTCGCTCTCAGCTCCACCTTCGGACGAGTCCGTAGAGCCGAGTGGCCTGTACCCAGAGCTTGTGGGCTGCCTCATGTACCTGATGACCTGCACTCGACCTGACCTTGCGTACCCTCTTAGCATCCTAGCTCGCTACGTTGCGCCTGGGAGACACCGGCGAGAGCACTGGGAGGCTGCTAAGAGGGTGCTACGCTACTTGTGCAGTACATCAGGCATGGGGCTGGTGCTTGGAGGACGGGGTGATGTTGTCCTCACTGGACACTCAGACGCCTCTTGGGTTGACGACCAGGCTACACAGCGGTCGTCACAGGGTTACACCTTCAGTCTTGGTTCTGGCTCTGTCTCTTGGCGGTCCACTCGCTCTTCTTCTGTTCTCAGCTCCAGTTGTGAGGCTGAGATCTACGCCACAGCCATGGTTGCACAGGAGCTTCGCCGGCTCACCTACCTGCTGACTGACTTGGGAGAGCGGCCTCGTTCTCCTCCAGTTCTGTACGGCGACAACAAGGCGGCCCTCGCCTTGTGTCAAGAGCACAGACTGGAGCACAGAACGAAGCACATCGCTCTCCGTTACTCGAGAGCTGCAGCAGCGTGGCCAGCTTCGTCTTGCTTACGTGGACACGCGGGCCAACACAGCTGATATATTCACCAAGGCACTTCCGCCTAGTGATCATCAGCGTCACTGCACTGCTCTAGGCCTCGTGCCTACGTTCTCTCACTTACTTATTGCTTGACCTTGCTTGTACTGTGATCTATATGTATCTATACTTGCATGTTTTTCTTTGCTAGGTTGTGATCACTGTACTGCTTGCTCTATTCTATATATTTCTGCATGTAAACTGGCCTTGTGGCCCTTTGCTTGTGCTCGGAGTGTGTGGTGATGTTGTGATCCACCCTGAGCTTGCTTTACTTCTCTTGACTGGTCTTGTGACCCCTTGTTCTCCCCCACTTTTGTCAGAATCACTAGGCAGGAATGAGAAACAGGAAAGAGGGGTTTTCACTAGCAGGCAGTTGAGTACATATAGCAAACCCTAATTCGGGCTGTACTCGATATTGGCTACCCCACTACAGCCTACACATATATGTTACATATATAATTTGACACACCCCCATAGGCAAAGTGGGGGAGAACAAGGGGTCACAAGACCAGTCAAGCAAAGCAAAGCAAGCTCAGGGTGGATCACAACGTCACCACACACACTGAGCACAAGCAAGAGGCCACAAGGCCTGTCCACATGCAGAGGTATATATGCAACAAAAACAGTACAGTGATCACCACCTAGCAAGAGCAAGCATGCAGGTATATGTATATAGATCACAGTACAAGCAAAGCCTACAGCAAGTGTGGAAACGTAGGTACAAGGCCTAACAAGGTACAGAAACGCTGATGATCACCAGACGGAAGTGCCTTGGTGAATATATCTACGGTGTTGGCCCGCGTGGCCATGAAAGCAAGACGAAGCTGACCTCGCTGCTGCAACTCTCGAGCCAGGAAGTAACGCAGAGCGATGTGCTTCGTTCTGTGCTCCAGTCTGTGCTCCTTACACAAGGCAATGGCGGCCTTGTTGTCAACGTACAGAACTGGAGGAGAACGAGGCCGCTCTCCCAAGTCAGTCAGCAGGTAGGTGAGCCAGCGTAACTCCTGTGCAGCCATGGCTGTGGCGTAGATCTCAGCCTCACAACTGGAGCTGAGAACAGAAGACGAGCGAGTTGTCCGCCAAGAAACAGAGCCGGAGCTAAGGCTACAGGTGTAACCTTGTGACAACCGCTGCGTAGCCTGGTCGTCAACCCAAGACGCGTCAGAGTGTCCAGTGAGGACAACGTCACCCCGTCCTCCAAGCACGAGCCCCATGCCTGATGTACTGCACAAGTAGCGCAGTACCCTCTTTGCAGCATCCCAGTGCACCTTTCGATGCCTACCAGGAGCCACGTAGCGAGCCAGAAGGCCAAGAGGGTATGCAAGGTCAGGTCGAGTGCAGGTCATCAGGTACATGAGGCAGCCCACTAGCTCTGGGTAAGGACCACTCGGCTCTACGGACTCGTCCAAAGGTGGAGCTGAGAGCGAGTGACCTAAAACCAGAAGAGTGGACTATGGCGAGGACCAGGTGAAGCCGAAGCGCTGAAGGACTGAGACAGTGTGATGGTGCGGCGTGCTCTGTCCAGGGTGATCTGCAAGCCAAGGTAGCTGCGTAGCTCACCCAGGTCTGTGCACGTGTGTCTCTTCTGCAGCTCCGACTTCACCAGGGCGAGAGCCTCAGTGTCAGCAGTGGCAAAGACCAAGTCGTCGACGTACACGAGGATGTAGAACGGCGGCAGCGAAGTGTCAGTGCGCAGAAACAGCGACGGGTCAGCAGTCGAAGGAGCAAACCCAAGAGCCGCAAGTGTCGTCCTCAGTGTGTCGTGCCACTCACGAGGCGCCTGGCGGAGACCGTAGACTGGCTGCCGGAGGCTCCACTGGGTACCAAGAGGGAACGACCCAGTGAAGCCAGGTGGGCGGCGCAGCCAGATCTCCTCGTGCAAGCTGCCCTGTAAGAAGGCTGTGCTAAAGTCAAGAGAGTGAAGCTCGTAGTCACGCTGAGCGGCAACGTGCAGCAGCACCCGAAGAGTGGTCATCTTCGGGGTGGGGGAGAAGGTCTGGAAGAAGTCAACTCCCTCTCGCTGACTGAAGCCTCGAGCAACGTAACGAGCCTTGAAGACAGGCGGAGAACCCGGCGGCCGCTTCACCCTGAAAATCCACATGCCATCCTCCTCCCCCCCACCGTATCTCCGTTACCTTCCATTTCATCCCTACCCTTCCTCGTCTCTCCCTCCCGACATCTCTCCTGCTTCTCCTTTCACTCCCTTTCATCCCTTGCCTCCCTTGACTACCTTCCCTCCCTTCTCTCCCTTCGATAGAAGTCTCTCCGTTCCCTCCTTTTCTCTCCCTTCTCTCCCGTGTCTCCCTTCCTCGCCCTTCACTCCCTTCCCTCCCTTCTCTGCCATGTCTCCCTTCCTCGCCCTTCACTCCCTTCCCTCCCTTCTCTCCCTTCCCTCCCTTCTCTCCCTTCTCTCCCTTCTCTCCCTTCTCTCCCTTCTCTCCCTTCTCTCCCTTCTCTCCCTTCTCTCCCTTCTCTCCCTTCTCTCCCTTCTCTCCCTGCCTTCCCTTCCCTCCCTTCTCTCCCTGCCTTCCTGTCCCCCATCCTTCCTTCCTTACGCACTCCTCCAGCCATTCTCTCCTCTTGCAATCCTCACTGCCATCCTTCCACGCCTCCCCATACCACCTACTCACATCGTTGCTCCCCTCCCCCTACCACATACAACATACTCCCATCTGACCTCCCCTTCCCCTGCCACCTACTCCCTTCTCATCTCCCCTCCCCTACCACCTCTCCTGGCCCTATCAGGCACTCTTTGCTCACCTCCCATCCCCCTACCAGGGGCATTCTTCTCACCTCCCCTCTCCTACCTCTTCTTACCCCCTCCTCTACCAAGGGCGCTCTGCTCACACCCTGCCCCTCCAGGTCCCCCACACTTATGTGTTTCTTTCTTAGTTGAATCTGACCTCCTACAGCCCTCACATTGTATTCCCTTGCTCGATTTCTGTGCTTGTGTTGCAGGTGGGGTGCTTTCCTGACTGCACATCCTACGCCTCACAGGGCACATAACAGCCTGCAACCTGGGCTTGGATAGGCTGCGATTGCAATGGGAATGGCAGGGGAGCATGGCAACGGCTACGAGCAAAGCAGCTTCAAGCCTCTCGGTCAATCGGCCTGTCCTTATACGATCCAAGTATTCAATCTTCCGCCTTGAACATTAGCACATAAACACACCCTCTTTTCCCCTTTTAGGTATTTCTTACTGACCCAACACATCGTGCCATCAAACTCATGTTTGTGTTTTTACCAACTGGTTATTGAACGTAGTGCTTTGTGACATCATTACAGGTTGCTGACTTCAACAGTTTTTGTAGCCAGTTCCCTACCATAACACAGTATGTAAACAAAGCACTACGTTCAATAACCAGTTGGTAGAGTGAGGGATGAGGAGAAGAAAGGATGGGGTGAGAAGGGATGCGGAGAAGAAAGGACGGGGTGAGGAGGGATGAGGAGAAGAAAGGATGGGGTGAGGGATGAGGAGAAGAAAGGATGGGGTGAGGGATGAGGAGAAGAAAGGATGGGGTGAGAAGGGATGCGGAGAGGAAAGGATGGGGTGAGGAGGGATGAGGAGAAGAAAGGATGGGGTGAGGAGGGATGAGGAGAAGAAAGGAGGGGAATCAGTGGGGGAAAGCAGGGGAAGTACGGGGGGGAAAGGCGAGGCAGAGAAGTGGAGGAAAGGAGGGGAAGCAGTGGGGGAAAGGAGGGGAAGCACGGGGGGGAAAGGCGAGGCAGAGAAGTGGAGGAAAGGAGGGGAAGCAGTGGGGGAAAGGAGGGGAAGCACGGGGGGGAAAGGCGAGGCAGAGAAGTGGAGGAAAGGAGGGGAAGCAGTGGGGGAAAGGAGGGGAAGCACGGGGGTGAAAGGCGAGGCAGAGAAGTGGAGGAAAGGAGGGGAAGCAGTGGGGGAAAGGAGGGGAAGCACGGGGGGGAAAGGCGAGGCAGAGAAGTGGAGGAAAGGAGGGGAAGCAGTGGGGGAAAGGAGGGGAAGCACGGGGGGGAAAGGCGAGGCAGAGAAGTGGAGGAAAGGAGGGGAAGCAGTGGGGAAAAGGAGGGGAAGCACGGGGGTGAAAGGCGAGGCAGAGAAGTGGAGGAAAGGAGGGGAAGCAGTGGGGGAAAGGAGGGGAAGCACGGGGGTGAAAGGCGAGGCAGAGAAGTGGAGGAAAGGAGGGGAAGCAGTGGGGGAAAGGAGGGGAAGCACGGGGGTGAAAGGCGAGGCAGAGAAGTGGAGGAAAGGAGGGGAAGCAGTGGGGGAAAGGAGGGGAAGCAGTGGGGGAAAGGAGGGGAAGCAGTGGGGGAAAGGAGGGGAAGCAGTGGGGGAAAGGAGGGGAAGCAGTGGGGGAAAGGAGGGGAAGCAGTGGGGGAAAGGAGGGGAAGCAGTGGGGGAAAGGAGGGGAAGCAGTGGGGGAAAGGAGGGGAAGCAGTGGGGGAAAGGAGGGGAAGCAGTGGGGGAAAGGAGGGGAAGCAGTGGGGGAAAGGAGGGGAAGCAGTGGGGGAAAGGAGGGGAAGCAGTGGGGGAAAGGAGGGGAAGCAGTGGGGGAAAGGAGGGGAAGCAGTGGGGGAAAGGAGGGGAAGCAGTGGGGGAAAGGAGGGGAAGCAGTGGGGGAAAGGAGGGGAAGCAGTGGGGGAAAGGAGGGGAAGCAGTGGGGGAAAGGAGGGGAAGAAGTGGGGGAAAGGAGGGGAAGCAAGGGGGGAAAGGAGGGGAGGCAGGGACGGAAATGAGGGGATGCAGGGGCGGAAATGAGGGGATGCGTGGGGGGAAAGGAGGGGAAGCAGGGGCGGAAATGAGGGGATGCGTGGGGGGAAAGGAGGGGAAGCAGGGGCGGAAATGAGGGGATGCAGGGACGGAAATGAGGGGATGCAGGGACGGAAATGAGGGGATGCGTGGGGGGAAAGGAGGGGAAGCAGGGGCGGAAATGAGGGGATGCAGGGGCGGAAATGAGGGGATGCGTGGGGGGAAAGGAGGGGAAGCAGGGGCGGAAATGAGGGGATGCAGGGGCGGAAATGAGGGGATGCGTGGGGGGAAAGGAGGGGAAGCAGGGGCGGAAATGAGGGGATGCAGGGGCGGAAATGAGGGGAAGCAGGGGCGGAAATGAGGGGATGCGTGGGGGGAAAGGAGGGGAAGCAGGGGCGGAAATGAGGGGAAGCAGGGGCGGAAATGAGTCCAAACGTGTGGATGCGGCCTTACGCATTTCGTGTATTGGAGAAATCCGTGAGGCGAGCAGCGCGTTACTGGTGGCTGCAGTAGGATGGCTGGCTCGCGCGCGCTCCTAGACTGAATTTCGCTGGAGAGCGCGTGCTTGCAACCGCGTGCTGTTTGCTGGGGCATCTAAGCGTCACATGCGCTCGCTGTGCTGGCGCGCCGCGCGGTATGCAGGTGCCGCTTTGCGGCGCGCGTTTTGCTGGCAAGCGCAGCTCTGCTGAGCGCGCTATGCTAGCGCGCGCGGAATGCCAGCATAGCGCGCACAAGTGCCGCACGCAGATGCCAGCACAGTGCGCGCAAGTGTTGCGCGCGGAATGATAGCGTAACTGGCGCAAGTCCCGCTAACGGAATGCTATCATTGCTGGCGCCAGTGACGCGCGCGGAATGACACGACACACACGGAGTGCCACCATCGCTGGCGCTAGTGACGCTCGCAGGCGTCGCCTGTTCTGCACACGGCTAAATACTCACCCGCGTCTATGTATGTGGTCGCGCTGCTGGCCTAGCACCCTCCGGCCTGCTGCCTAGTACCTAAACTAGTAGCTACTAGATGCGTATTCCCCGTAGTGTGTGATGTGGCAAGTTCGGTGACGGGAGGTGTTTCCCATTTTGTGACCCACAACCTACCCAACCCTGCTCCTCTTACAACGGAAGCGCTCCAGTTTTTCGCCAACACTCTCGCTATTCTGTTTACATTTTCGTTGAGGCGAAATCGCCTGGCACACTGTACAGAAACAACAGTGCTGCCAAATGTATACTGCTGCTTTAAGGACAGTTGCGCAAAATCCTTCGATGTTAGCGATCGTTTCTACAGTTGCCACCTCGTACAGATGTACGGGGTAGCCTTAAGCTTAACGATCAATTGCTCACTTCATCGTGACTTTATTGGTACGTGTCATCACTGGCTTCGAATCCGTCCACTTCCGAAGCATGACCCATCCCTTTGCACTGGGTGTTGTGTATACTACTATTGCGGAGTCAATCCTTATATTAAATTGTTGCAGCTAGTTCTGCCCGAGCAGCACATCGCAACCATCTAATGTAGTCGCAAACATGTTCATGTCGAATCTGAAATCGTCGCCACACTATATCCGTACTCATTCTTTTCCTCTCGAACCACGAAAGGTGTTCCATCCACCAGTCGCGTGTGAATCTCCAACAAACACGTGTTTAGCTCTACTATTTTTTTTTGTTATTGACAAGTTGATAAGGCTGTAACTTACTCAACCACTAACGGATACTTATATTTTTTACCCATAAACCCTCCCTACTACCATCACAAATGATCCACATGTTTATACACCTTATTTGTCCGAGTTCACTCAATAGCATGGATTGGTATTAAGACCCGTTGTGCATGGTGATTGCCGAGCGACAGGGTCTTGTCAATAGGGCGCCTGACGAGTACTTGCGGCTGTTATTGTTATTGTTGTTGTGGTTGTTCTTTTCCTTTTCCGACTCGTTTTCGTCGTTGTACTTCCCCTATTTCAGATTTGGGCATTCTCTTTTTTTACGTGGTCAAGCTAATTGCAACCAAAGCGCAGCCCTAAGGCTCGGCTCGGTGCATCCACACCGTTGATCATCGGCCGATGAGAAGATCCGCGCAAATAGTTGCCTTCTAGGGAACCCGCTCTTACCCACTTCGTTAACGCATCCGTCGATTTCGCCAGCTGTACTGTATCGTTGAAGCTCCACAGACGCGAGCATCGCAACTCGTACTCTATTTCGTACTCGAGGCCGTACTAATCCAAACGCTCCGCCTCGTTGATGTCATCCACTTGGTCGGTCAGCACGAGGAACATTGATATGTGCTCCTGAACCGAAGTCAACTGCTTCCAGGCAAGTAGCTTCATATGGGCCAAATTTGAAGCGGATATGTTCTATATTAGAGGTCTAGATAGGTAGGGATATCGGAAGATGAGGTTAGGTGTTGTTCCGGGTCTGTCAAGTTCGAAGGCGACGTGAGCCTGTATTTATGAAGAGTTGTAGTCGTACATAAAGTGTCATCGCTCAGTAAAGAATCATGATAGATGCTTACATCTGTCTTGGATAGATGTTAAGATAAGCGGTAGTCTTAGGAGCCATAGCTAGGAGAGTCCTAGCTAGGCAAGAGAGTTTAGGCGAAAGAGAGGGGTTGCACTAGCAAGAATGGGGATACAAATAGCAAACCCTAGAAGGGTTGTACTCGCTACAGAGCACCCCACTACAGGCTAGAGCATAATATTCTGACACACCCCCATAGCCAAAGTGGGGTGTAATCAGCAGAGCAAGCAAAGCAGTACAAGCTCAGGGTGGATCACAATGTCACCACACATTCTGAGCACAAGTTTAAGAAGCAATAGTTTAAAGATCACAATTATGAGCAAAGCTAGAGGCAGTTACAGAGGGCAAGTGAGGAGGAGGAGGGCTGGCGAGAGGAGAGAAGAGTGGAGGCGACGACTGAAGCTGCAGACACACGGGCAACAGACGGCTCTGGTGCAACTCTAGTGGCTACCGGGAGCAAGGGCCCCGGAATACAGGAGTAACAGGCTCTGCGTCTGATCAGCAGCGACAGGAGCAACGGACCCACGGGCGACAGGTGCAACCGGCTCTCTGAGCTACCGGTGGCTATCAGAACCCCGGAATACAGGCGCTGCAGACGACACGACGGCTGCCTCCACCCAACCTCCTCCAACTGTCCCACACCCCCCAACACACACCCCCTGCTGAAACCCTAGCTCCACTCCCATGGCACCCCCCTTAAACCCTAAACCCTCGGCTCCCACACACCCACCCCCCTGAGCAGCAGCTGCAGCAGTGGGAGACGGAGGAGGAGGAGCAGGGGACGGCTGACAGAGACGGCACCCCCATACGCTCCACCCCCAAACCCTAATTCAGGAGTACGGGCAGCAGCAGGGGTGGGGCGCCGTCAGAAGCGCGAGGGACGGCGTGCAGCTCAGTGGGAGAGGAGACCGGGCGCCCGCGGGCCAGGCGCAGCCCGTACGAACCGCGCGCAGGCGGCCCGAGGCGCGCGCGGGCCAGGCGCAGCCCGTACGGGCCGCGCGCGGGCCTGGCGCAGGCCGTACGGGCCGCGCGCGGGCCTGGCGCAGCCCGTACGAGCAGCGCGCGGGTTGTACGGGCCGCGCGCGGGCCTGGCGCAGCCTGTACGGGCCGCGCTCGTGCAGTACGGGCCGCGCACGGGCGACGGGGGCGACGCGCGGGTCCCCGGGGGCGCTTCGGCGGGCGACGGGGGGAGAAAACCGCCGCGCGCCTCGGGGCGCACGGCGGGCAGAGAACCGCCGCGCGCCTCGGGGCGCACGGCGGGCAGAAAACCGCCGCACACCTCGGGGCGCACGGCGGGATGAAAAATCCGTCGCACGCCACGAGGCGTGCGACACACAGAGTAGCAGTAGCAGTAGCAGCGGAAGGCTTAGGTGGTGGGCCCACCCACAGGATCGACCCAGGAGGGTCGACCTGCTCTGATAGCATGTTGAGATAAGCGGTAGTCTTAGGAGCCATAGCTAGGAGAGTCCTAGCTAGGCAAGAGAGTTTAGGCGAAAGAGAGGGGTTGCACTAGCAAGAATGGGGATACAAATAGCAAACCCTAGAAGGGTTGTACTCGCTACAGAGCACCCCACTACAGGCTAGAGCATAATATTCTGACAATAGAAGCTTGGTTACCATACACCATAGTGATAAAATTTGAATTTTGTAGCTTACATTTCTATTTCAGATCAATCACAATGACGTAGTAAGGTTTGAATAATGACATTCCGTAAGATAATTGTTGCGCACGCGGCTGGGCACGGCGACGTTTTCTTGTTACGACATCTTGTTGTTATATCCGAAACTGTCCGCGTACGCATCATTTCAACATGAATCATTGTACTGTAGGTGTGAGTGTAGCGTCAGCTTCAATATTTAGTCTACACTTTCTTGAACGTCTCCAAGATTGTTGGGTCCTGACAACCAAGACCATCACGGCGCACGCTGGACTAAGGCTACGTGGAATTTTGTGATGGTTGGACCTTCTTCTCCAATTTTGTGATATGTACAAAAGCGGTTTGAGCCCTATTCCGTTTCCAATCAGACTCTAACGTCTGTTCACCAGGTGCTGATCACAGAAAATCCAACGCATCATCGGCAAACCCCCATGATGAAATTTGTTGCGTGGACCATTGCTAATAGGCAATGGGCATCTTGACCCCACAACCTTCATGATTTAATGATTTGTTAACTATGTGAGACGTCTCACTCAATGCATTAGTGAACATCACACCACACACTCACATATGATGAAGATGCACGTACCAACAGCAAGATGCCTACGTGTCATGCTCCGGAACCCCGTTGCATCATCCACCTTGACACCCTTGCATCTTATAAATCACAAAGCTATCCAAATCCAATATGATCCCGAGATTTAGGGTCATAAATTTGGCCCATTGCCTTAAACTCGGTTGCCTGTTAATAGCGCAATCACATTGACAATGCCGCATCACGAACCTAAGCCACTGAGCAGTCAAATTCAGGCTTTGGTTATTTTCACTGCATAAGTCAACGTAAATCCTTGTTAGCACCTAACCAATCAATCATTTAGTTGCTCGACATACAGATTTCGGGGAGATTGCGTGTGACCACTGACGCATCTGTTGAACCGTCATCCATCGAGAAAACGTTTGAGGCTCAAGTTTTTAGTGTCACTCTGTGTCCCTTGTTATGCTCGTCTTTTCACTACATACTATGTTCTTGGGTTTCGGTTTTTCACCACACAGTTTAGGGTGTTCCAAACAAATGGTTAGAGCACCATATTCAACGCATCACTCTTAGGTTATTTATTGCTAGTTTCTAAATACCCAATACCAGACCCTCCTTGTGCTAGTGTGCGTCAACTATTTTTTGTTTTGTGGGCATGTTAACTATAAATTCTGAAAACCTTGTTGAGGTAGGGATTGATGAGGGTGACGCCATGCATGAGATTGACGATGGTTCTCATCATGTAGGGCCTGACGATCAGGCAAATTTCCCACCAGATTGCTGTGGCATGCAGAATAGGAATTTAGGGCAAGCAAAGCGCCAACAAACTGGGGCAAAAGAGTGGCATCATCCAGCAGCTCCAACGACTTTATCTGGTCTTGGTAGGGTAC